CCAGTGTGTCAGTAAAGTTAATCTGATCCAATAATCCTGTATATGTAGCCAGTAGTCTTGGATTGTTTTTAATTTTGGAAGTTGACCAGTTCAATCAGTCGCAGCCCATGTAGTAGAGTGCGACCCACTGCTCCTGTTTCACCAATGGGTCTTGCTTCAGTTCTCACTGTTCAACCAGCTGACTGAGATCTGACTTTTCAGTCCGGTGTGGCTTAGTTCGCTAGTGTTTGAGGACATGAAGATCCACCAGGGGGATCATAGAGTCAGAATCAGACAGGACTGAAAGAACAGCCAGTGTCTGACTCCAGTGTGTGTTACCTTGAACAGAGCAGTGAGGTGAAGGTACAGCTCAGTCTAATCTGGCTCAGCCTCAGTGACGCACACACACACACACACACACTCTGTCACTGTCTCTAATCCTTATATAAATGCTGTGTGTGTTGGAGTGTGTCTTCAGACAGCAGGTTTGTCTGAGTGTCTGAGGAAGACCAAACCCAGGTCTTGTCTTTGTTGGTTTCCAACAAATGTTCTGCATCACTGGTGTTGAAGTTGACAATGATGTAGGATTGAAAGGAGACGTTGCTGTTGAGGGTGACACCCAGACTCTCACCTGATTGGTTATCAATAGGAACTGAAGTGGTTCAGGCAGTTGGAGCTGGAGAGACGTTGGAGGGTGGAGTTGGCTTGACAAGTTACTGTAGGTAGAGCTGAGTTTCATCCATGCAGCAGTGGACGAGGGTGTTGTATCTATGGATGAGAGGAAGAGACTGGGGCTGGATGAACCTCACTGTAGCTGTAGATATTCACAGTGGACAGCCCCTCACAGCCGGAGCCAACGAACCCTAACCTACAGGTCTCTGATTACAACCAGTCCAGCCGAGGGAAGCCCCTGATGATCAGTAATATTTCAATGACTGAGAAATATAGCATTAACCAGTGATGGACTCTCTCTATCAATAGTCTGTTAATGGCTCCTAATGGAAGGAGAGACAGTACACCAATCATCACTTTAGTCAGCATGTGTATTTTTGCATGAAAGGTAGTGGACTTAACTATAGCACAGAGTAGAATCAGCCCAGAAGGAGGCAGTATGGAGGGGAGGAGTAATGAAGATGGAGTGTGAGTGGGAGCTGCTGCTGGTGCTGCTGCTGCTGCTGGTGGGGCTGCTGCTGCTGCTGGTGGGGCTGCTGCTGCTGCTTGCTTTCTCCTGCAGTGTGTTTTTCATTCAGCCCAGTCTGGTCCAACAGTTCTGTCAGGTTACATTTAAGTCCCTGCAGCAATTTAATAGGAGCGTTCTGCCAACTGAAGTGAAGCCCCACCCCTGCCTCCTGCTGTAGTTAATCAGATTTGATTTATAGTTTTCATAATGCTATAGAGAGTGTATGTGTGTGGGTGTGTGTTTGTGTGTGTATGAGCATCAGCTTTAGCTATAAATTGCCAGCTACTTAGTTTTTTTCTCACTAACACCCCCTACAGGATAGAAACGTAAATTTAAGATTCAATAAAAAAAAATCAAAATTAGGAAATTTTAAAATGTATTTTTTGGTAATAACAAAGTATAATATATTTTCTCATTTATAGAAACAGGGTTCCTACCATTGTAAGGTTTGGTTTGAAAGTTAAATGTCACCAAAGTATCTGTACATTATATCACAAGGATATACCATAACCACAGAGTGATGTGAGAAGGAAGTACAGCACAGTGTTCCCAGTGTCAGACGTCTAACGTTACACACAATGAATGTAAAACAATCATAACTGCATGGGTTCAAACATGGGCTGGAAAAAAAAAAAATTAGAACCTCTGGGCATTCGGGTTTTATTTTTTCCTGTAGGTCATCTTGAAAAGCTTTTGGCTGCAGTACCATCAGTGGTCAGTAGGCTTAAAAATCTATATGCAGTTTTCTCAGGTCATTTTGGAGTCATTGTTTAAATTCATATATAACATATAACAGAATATTGATAGTAAAGCATGAAAACCTGGTGTGTTGTACAGATGTTGAAGGAGAACACAGAGAGTTGGCCACAGGTTGAAGCACAAACCTATGTCCGTAACTGATCCATAGTTTTCCAGGTCAGTTCATTAGACTGAAGAGGAGCTCCTCTTTACAGTCCTTACACCGACATCCTCCCTGCTGGAGAGCTACTGTGAGGCCTGTAAAAACCTGAACTCACTGCATTGTGCCCCGTGTAACCTGAGAGGGGAAACACAGGGAGCAAAGGTAAACAGAAGGAGTGAGACGGGGAGGCAGGAGGGGAGGAGGAGGAGGAAGAGGAGCTGGACAGATGGAAGGACGATGATCCTATGACTTCAGATCCCAGGGGACACCTCACTGTCACTGTTGATCCTCCAAACAACCGTCAACCAAACATCATCCATCCACTCATCCGTCTTTTAATCCATGGATGTATCCATTACAACTTTCCCAGTACACAGGATCACAGGATCCACCTGCTGTTCCAGTGTGTTCAGTAGTAAATGAAATAATGCTGGAAGTGAAAACCATCCATCCATCCATCCATCCATCCATCCATTCATTCATTCATCCATCCATTCATCCATTCATTCTCTGCCTGCTCACTAACTCATTCAACTTCTCACAGCAGTGGTGGTTCTACATGAGTGTTCAGCCTCAGTATCTGTTTCACTCTCTCAGTGCAGTGAACTCAGCCTCTGATGATGTGGAAGAAGTATTTGGTATCAGCTAATGACTGAGTCTTTGTCTGCCAGCCTCAGTCTACAGGGACTCCGTGTGTCTGTCTGTCTGTCTGTCTGTCTGTGTGTGTGTGTGTGTGTGTGCCAGTGCACGCGTGTGTGTGTGTGTGTGGGTGTGTCTGTCGTCATTTTCCGATGCTAATGGTTAGCCTTTTGTGCCCGTCCTGGTTGTTTTTGACATTTCTTCTTCATTGAATTACACTGAGAGCTTCCATTAATGGTATTGATCAGCTGAACAGCAGCTAACCCTCCACTGGTGTCTCCCCCAGCTGTCAGCCTGACCCACTGGGTTACATCTCAACAAGTATGCAGTCATAGGTGTCACCCCTACATGGTGTCCACTAGGGGTGTCCCTTATCCCATTTTCAAAAACCTTTGGAGCCTAAAACCATCAAATTATATTAAATTGTTTTTTGTCAAAGTGTCAAAGTGACACTTTGGTGGAAAGATGAAGGAAAAGTGCATTTCCGAAAAGCTGTAATCCTCTGTGACATCGTATTTGGATGTAACCTGATACCAAACGTGTCTAAAGTGTTTTGAGCTGGTTCCACCAGGACCCATTAAGTCACTGTGGACTCGTGCATTAGCCCAACTGAGGCCCACAGACACCAGAGGCAGCCCACATCCATTACATCTATCCAACCCAGTCGGATGATCGAGGCGAGTTTTATTGATATTTACTGAAATTTGAATCTTAAATGTCAGCAGTCACATCAGTGAAGAGGCTGAGACGCAAATGATGTCACTAATGGTTCTGTCCCAGTCAGAAACACAGTGTGTGTGTGTGTGTGTGTGTCTGTCTGTCTGTTATGATAGGGACATTTTGGTGGTAAAATATTGATGTGGGGACATTCATCCTGTCCTCATCCCTGTGGGACTCCCTCCCCTGCAGTGATGGTTTGTTGAGGTTTAGTTTGGAGTCGGTGGTAAAGTTATAGAGGAATCCATTTTGTTTTCCTGTTTAATTTTACTGCTAACAAACTCATTTGGAACCTGTTGTCAGGTAAATGGAGGTGCAGGACAGAAGCCGCTCTCCATCCCGTAGGACCAGCAGGGTGGAGCAGGTGGTTGGTCGATGGCTGAGACGGTCCAGAGACCTGGGCAGCAGGTCTCACTCTCTGGGCAGGTAAAGTACTACACTCAGACCACTCAGATACTGTATTACCTCATTATCCAGTTTTTTATTGTGTGTGTGTGTGTCTTTGTCCACCCTCCAGAGACCGTGCTGCTGGAGATGGGAAGACAGCTGAGTCCAGTGGCCTGGATCACAGAAGTTATTCCTTCCGCTTCACCGTACAGATTCAACAGGATCAGGCCTTCTCCTCTCATGGACTCACTCTGTCCTCCCAGACGCCCATTCTGGTTGAAGACGTCATCCCAGGTACAGTAGGATTATTTAGACTTAGGCCTGGAACTGTACACCAGACCTGGGATATGTGGAGAAACATGGTTTTGTCAGCTGTTAACAAACGAAAAACACTGAGCAGGACTCAAGGATGTCGTCCTTCTATATGTCTCACATCTCTATTCTATATATGTCTCACACTTCTATATATGTCTCACACTTATATATATGTCTCACATCTCTATTCTATACATGTCTCACACTTCTATATATGCCTCACACTTCTATATATGTCTCACACATATATGTCTCACACTTGTATATATGTCTCACACTTATGTATATGTCTCATACTTCTATATATGTCTCACACTTCTATCTATATCTCATACTTCTATATGTCTTATACCTCTCTCTCTATATATATATATATATACGTAAATCTATATATATATATATATCATACTTCTATATATGTTTCATACATTTATATATGTCTGGTACCTTTATATATATGTCTCACACTTATATTCTATATATGTCTGGTACCTTTCCACCGGTGCTGAATAATAAATACACAGGAGAGCAGAACAGTTCTGTGGTGAAGCGGCAATCTGCTCCTGAACCCCCTAGTGGTGCAGTGACACATGACATCCTCCAGTCTAGTATTCTCTGCTCTTTTACTACAAACACACACACACTCCAACTTCACATAGACATAACACATGGCCACACCTTTAAGATATATACAAATATTTTCCAGATCTCCCTCTAATCTGACCATAACTGTAATCCTGACTCGTTTTTGAACCTTCTAATACCATGTCACTCAGTGAGGACCAGGTAAATGTCCCCACTACAATGGTTTTTTTTACCATGTGTCTTCATGAGTATATGTACACCAGAAACACACACCTCTCCTACACAGAGATGGTTGATGGTGTCTCTAATGGCCAAACTGAGCCTTGGCTCCTTTCTCCTCTCTGTGTCTGTCTGCTGCTGCCAACTCTATCCTGACTGTCAGATATGGAGCCTGGATTTTTTTTAGCTTCTTCCTTCTGTCCCTCGTCCTCATTTGTTTTCGAAGGAGGAAATATCAAGTCTAATTAACCGTTTCTCTTTAATAACATAGAAGCCAAAAGTCACTTAACTAACGTATTTGCAGGGGGTGGTCACGTGACTCCGTTTGCTTATTTTGCTATCATGGACACAGAGAGTGTGAACAGCTCCTTGGTCCAGACGTCTTAGGCCTTAATCAGGTGATGGAACTGAGCCCAGTGTTCAGACCAGGATTTACATTAGTCTCTGTGAAGTGAAAGCAACTGAGTAGCAAACTGTGAAGGAGCAGTGACAAAAATATAAACTAAATATTACCAAATTTGGTCAACAGGAAGTGAATAAGTTCATGTCTGAGGGCAGAAAAATAATATTACAGATAATAATAATAATAATATTACACAGACATAAAAATGCTGGTAATAATAGCAGGGGGCTGTAGCTGAACAGTTTACTAGGACCGTGAAGTCATCACTGGCTTCACCTGGCCTACAGTTGTGCTGCTGCTTCAGTGAAACTTGATATTCAGTGAGGGCCACATTAGCTGACCAGGGAGTCTCATGAGAGCTGGGAGCTGCTGGTTTGAATCCTCTGCAGTAGATGGAGGGCAGAAGAGGAAGTGAAGTGTGTGTTCGATCCGTGACGATCTTAATTACATTTACATTATGCTGATCTTGATGTTATGGGTTTCACCTGATGGATGATAATGGAGAGTCGATGCTGCTGATAACAGTAAGAGAGTAGATGAGAGCGCAGAGACCACCGTGGTTATTGTTTCAAAAACCCTACTGTGATGGAAATGGGATGGAGAGGTCTGTAGAAGTGTGTGTGAGACCGACGACAGGAATAAAAGCCTCCGTCTGTCATGGGCTCTGAATGCAAACCCATTCAAAACCCACTAGCGACGGTGTTTTGTGTGTGCAGGTGGTCCTGCAGATGGTCGGCTCGTCCCAGGCGACCAGCTCGTGAAGATCAATAACATCGCTGTAGATGACCTGACCCCGGAGCAAGCTGCTGAAATAATCAGGTCCACATTTAAATAAACACACACACGCACGGTTACAGTAATTGGACATGAATCAGAGAAAATGAAAACATCCTGTATTAACCAATCAGCTGCTGCCTTCTCTTACAGGGAGTGTCAGGATTCACTGATCATGACTGTCCTCAGAACAATGCTGGTGAGTTTTACTACAAGTATACTACCTATACTGCATGTACTACCTATACCAGGGGCCTCTAATGTGTCTTCAACTCAAGGGCCTCCACGCTGTTGGAGCCACAGAGGAGGGTCCACCTAGTGTTGGGTTAGGGCAGGCATGGGCAAACTAAGGTCCGGGAGTCGGATGCGATCTGTTCAGCATTTTATTCCGGGCGGCCAAACTTTTCCAAATTACATAATTTATTATACTATTCTCATTATACTTCTGCCTTTCCCTGCAATACCCACGTTTACCCAATAGATGGCATAAAATTTGAATGACTCAGCATTTTTAATACATTTCTTACTTAAAGGTTTAAGGTTTAAAAGATTTCAGCATCCTGGTGTGTGACTGAAGATGGCAGTGTCTAGACGATGAATGAGAGTGCTGGTGTAAATATTATGTTTCTGTTTTTAAAACGATACAGCCAGAGAAGATGAAGACTTTCTGACAGAAACCAGAATACTTTCATCTGAGATTTATCAACAGGAAGTAACGTGAGACAAACACAGATGTGCGGTCAATTGAATTTCCACCTGAAGGTCTGGAGTCTGACATGTATGTTAGAGGGTGACAGTGAACTCATCACATTCTAAAACGCTGTTGTCAGTAAAACTGTCACTCAGGCCAGGGGTCAAATGTCATGGCTAACGACCTTCCTGTCACTGTATATCAACGTCACCACGTGTTGATGTACAGTCGTAAACACCACCTCCTCCAACAGCACCAACACACTAACGCCTACTGTATGATACTCCAGTATGAGTGTGTGCGTCTCTTCCATAGATATATTTATGGGGACGTGATTTGAAAATTAAAAAAAATTCTTTTACAGACACTCGTGTTCGTGGGCTCTCCACAAAGTGAGAGGTTCAACAATTTATTACAGCATTTAGTAGAAACCACATGTCCCTCGAGGTGTAGTTGGTAAATGAACATCGTACACGTGCTGCACAGGCTCGAAGTGATTCTTACGGTCTGTCGTCCATCACCTGACCTAGTCATTCTAAAGATACGCTCTGATTCACGGCTGATCAATTATTAAAAATCGACTTGCTGTTGTATTGATCTGTTTCTCACAGGGCCCAAAGTCTTCGTTCATCACACCGGAGAAGAGAGCCAAGCTCAGGTCCAACCCTGTCAAAGTTCACTTTGCTGAGGAGGTGGAGGTCAATGGACACTGTCAGGTCGGTCTGTGGGTCAACCTGTGGGCCACAGTGTCTGCTGTGATACTGTAGCTCCTTAGAGATGGCAGTAGCTTCATGCTTCATGATGTACAGCAGGTCTGGCTCATAGAAATAATGTAACGGTGCAGTTTAATTGTTTTTTTATGTTCTTACCACTAGGTGTCATAATGAAACTGTACTTTAACTTAAATGCTTCTCATCATCCTCTTATTGTTAGTCGTTATTTTTTAAAACCCTTAGCAATTTCATATGTCCATAAAATCTAGTTACCATAGCCCGGTAACTGCATGCAGTGCGTAGGTTTACCAAGGGAGGGCGCACTTTAGCAGATTTTATGCATCCACAGTTTATTTCTACACTCCAAAAGTTTTCTCTCTTGAGGAAAATATTGTTTGTTCATTGTTCATTCTTCCAGCCTGTGTCCTGGGGGTTTTATTCCATATATATAAAGAAAAGTTATTGAAACAAGGTGCTGATAAAATGTTTTGTTTTTTTTCTGAGAGTCAAGTGTTTCTACAGAGCAGAGATGAAAGTGCTGTTGTTGCAGTTTAGTCACAGATCTCGTTACTGCCCAGAGTTTTGAATTCAGCTGCAAGAGAAAAAAAAACACAGAAGCTGGAAAGACTGTCACTAATCACTGAGGAAACACTGATCAATACCTGCCTGCTCCTCTGCTCATTTACTGTTTCCTTATCACGGTTTTAACTCCAGATCAGAGGCAGATCAATGAAGAGATGTTAAAGAGCAGCGTGAGCTCAGGGCTGCAGCCAGAGGAAGACAAGACAAGAGTCACAGAAAATAAAAAACACAACATATTCAGCTAGAATTGCTTATAGCGAACATTAAAAATCAGAAAAGTTCAAAAGCTTAATGACGGGGAAAAAAATAATGTTTCTCCTCAGGGAAACTCTCTGCTGTTCCTGCCCAACGTTCTGAAGGTTTACCTGGAGAACGGTCAGACCAAGGCCTTCAAGTTTGAACCCAGCACCACAGTCAAGGTGAGGCAGTAGGCCGTCCACCACACGTACACACACCTCACACACACACACACACACACACACATCCAATAAATATAATGATTAATGAGGTCAGTGTCCATGGAGGGAGGAAATGTTCTGCTCAGGTCACGAACCTGTCGAGGACACGATTATTAACACCCTGATAAATATACTGTATTATTATGAATATATGTTCAAATATATATGTATATGTACAATAAATATAATGATATATATTAGTTTACTTTTGTATTCTCTTCTACTGTAGTTGGTAGCAAATCAGCAAAAATGTTTCCTGATGTTGTGAAATATTGTCTCTTGGGTGTGTGTGTGTGTGTGTGTGTGTTGTCTCTCAGGACATAGTGATGACACTGAAGGAAAAGCTCTCTCTGAGCCGCATAGAGCATTTTTCACTGGTCCTGGAGCAGCAGCACAGCATCAGCAAACTGCTGCTGCTGCACGAAGAGGAGAGGATACAGCAGGTACACACACACACACACATATATATATATATATAAGCTTATTATTATTGTTAATAATGGTCCTGTAAACGTGTGTGTGTCTCATCAGGTGGTCCAGAAGAAAGAGGCCCACGACTACAGGTGTCTGTTCAGAGTTTGCTTCATGCCCAGATCCCTCCAGTCTCTGCTGCAGCAGGACCCCACCGTCTTTGAGTATCTTTACCTGCAGGTACTGTGATTCATCTGATATATGATGATATATGCAGTATATGTCTCTCTGTGTAGTTCTAGTAGATAGTTTTTCTGTTTCTACACCAACGGACAAACCTTTGATCAGAGGAGAAAATGTCTTCATTCTCTGTGCTGTTCTCTCTCCAGGCTGTCAACGACGTTCTGCAGGAACGTTTCGCAGTAGAGATGAGATGCAACACTGCTCTGCGACTGGCCGCCCTGCACATCCAGGAGAGGCTGGCCAGCTGCGGACAGTCGCCCAAGACCAACCTGAAGACTGTCACGTAAGATAAAGACGTTTGACATGATTAGAGTCAAGAGCAAAATAAACGACCTGGACATATTTATTTTTTTATTATTATGTAGTATTAATTCATCAGATTTACATTGACCTTGTGTGTTCCAACAGGAAAACATGGGGAATAGAGAACTTTGTGTCGTCCACGTTGTTGAGGAACATGCGGGAGAAAGATCTGAAGAAGGCCATCAGCTTCCACATGAAGAAGAGCCCATCACTGCAAGATCCCAAACAGAAGGGTTCCTCTGTCAACCAGGCACGGATCAACTACCTAGAAGAGCTGGGGGATCTCAAGTCATTTGGGGGGAAGACCTTCAGTGCCACCATGATGGTAGTTCTCTGGAGCGTTAGCTGATTTGTCTCTGTTGTCTCCATAGAGTGCATTTCTCCTAACAGAACCTTCTTCATCTCTTCAGCTCCAAGACAGAGAGTCCACAGTCACCCTGCTGGTGGGAGCGAGGTATGGGGTGAGTCAGGTGGTGAACCACAAGTTGAGCATCCTGTCCTCCTTGACTGAGTTCACCTGCATCACACGCATTGAGCTGCTGCCTGAATCAGAGAAGGTCAGCCTGGTGAAAATATACCTGCAGGACATCAAGGTGAGGACACCAGAACGTGATTCATGACTGAAACAAAGTCGTTCCTAGTTCTTGTCCCATCCAACAACATCTTGTCTCCCAGCCCATCACATTACTGCTGGAGACTTCAGCGGCCAAAGATCTGTCCTGTCTGATATCGGGATACTGTCGAGTCTTCGTCGACCCCAACCTCAACCTCTTTGCCTGGACAGAGGAGCAGAAGAAGCACAGAGTGTCTGCTGAGGAAGGTAGGAAGAACACAGATTTGTAGAGCCATTGACACCAGGGTCGACATCCCCTAGGGCACATGAGTCAAACTCAGGCCCGGGGGCCAAATCTGGCCCGCAGGGTAGTTACATAGGCCCGCAAGATCATATCAAATGTGTACTAGAGTTGGCCCGCCATTATATAGCCCCTATAACTGGGAAACACCTTGTGTCTCCAGTGTCTGCGTCCTTCACAGTGTCTTTGCCGTCCTGTGGTTTCACGTTCACAGGTTACGTGTCCAGATGTGGCAGCGACTCAGACGACACCTCCGACCTGGACATGGAGCCACTCATCACGCTGCCCTCGGTCAACGACAGGCCACGATCTAGAAAGAGATCCTCCTCCTCTGAACCTGACGGCCGACAGAGAAAAGACAAAGAGAGAAGGAGGAGAAGTAAAGATGAGAGGGAAAAGGCAGAGAGACTTTTGGACCGTAAAAAACCAGAGGAGGAGAAAGATGTTGACACGGAGAAGGAGCGGTCGCCGCAGGAGAGCAAAACCGAAGACAACGGGAATATCGAGGAGACGGAAATAAACGAATCACAAGAGCAACAGAAAAGAGAGGAAGACGAAGTGAAGCCCCCCGATGATGAGGAGCAACGCTGCGTCTCAGAGGCTTCAGATTCTTGTCAAACCGACTCCCGTGTCCTCACCAGCCCTTCCAGTGACTCCCTCGATGCGTTGGAGGAGGACGATTTTCTCCAGTGTTCCTCGTCCTCACAAACCCGTTGCGACTTCCCTCTTCAGCTTAATCCCTACTCCCACAGCCAAGTCCAGCCGCACCTCCTTGCTCCTCCACCAGCTCACTCCCATCCACTCTTACACATAACAAGTCTAGAAACAGGAAGAGGAAGAGGGCAGTGCAGGAGGTCTGGGGGCGGAGCTGACACTCAACTGTTTGACCCTGTCTCCACCTGGGACACAGTCCACCCAGCTGGGAAAGATCCAGGGTTCTCCTGCTCTGACCAAAGCTCTCTCTGCTTCGCTGACCTCTCTCGCCTGGTGGATCTGCTGCCCAGCCCTCCAGAGGCTAGCGATGATGATGATGATGATGATGATGATGATGATGATGATGATGATGATGATGATGATGATGATGATGATGATGATGAAGAAGAGGATCTGCGGAGGAGAAAAAATAAGTTGTTAACAGAAATGGAGACCTCAGAGAGGAGAGCAGGTGAAGTGGTGGGTCTCACCGTGGAGGGAGGCTCTGGGGGGAGCCCCCTCTCTGTATCCCCGTCCTCCTCCTACCTCACAGAGTCTGTGTTCAATTTCGACCAGAGTGACACTCGCTGCTACTACAAACTCTGCTCCAACATCACCCCCGACAGCGCCCGTAGTCTCCCCCACCCTCACTGTCAGAGTGAAGCCAGAAACTTGGAGAAGTTGGAGGGAGATGAGGATAAAACAGTGCCAATCCTCCAGCCTCCTCCTGGATTTGGAGACAGCAGCTCTGACGAGGAGTTTTTTGATGCCAGGGATCGTTTAACTTCCCCTGAAGACCTGGCTGCAGGAGCTGTGCTAAGAGGCGAGTATTTCCATTTAAAATTCAGTCTTCTGTGGTACATGTTCATTATGAGGAACTACGATCATTATGAAAAGAAATGTTATTTAAATGTTACTGTGAACATCAGTTCACTAAAACTGGAGGCCAAAAAACGTTTCAATCAAAGCAGTTTTTATTTTTATTATTATTATTATTATTATTATTATTATTATTATTATTAGTCCGTTGTTCATTGCCTCTGAAAGCTTACCTAGAAAAACCATGGGTTTATATTTATGTACTTTTAAAACTGCACAGAGCACGACGGTTGACTTTAAAAATGAGCAGTTAATAATTTTACATATACATATATATATATATATATATATATATATATGTGTACCTTAACATGAGGTAAATATAAGACAGATGACCAGTACTGTATGTCATTTCAGTAACATGTCAACATGTGGTTGTGCAGGTATCTCTCCAGAGATGAAGCTGGATTTCCTCAGCCTCAGTGACATCACAGTCTCTGTTGTTGACGGCGACAACATTGAAAAAGAGACAGAAGAAGAATTGGCACCGGAGACAGATGTTGGAGAAACACTATTCCAGCTCAGAAGAAGGTCACGAAAGCGGCGTTCCTTCATGGAAACCACTTACACCTCAATGGTGTCGTACCCAGGACCAGACCCAGAGTCACAGAAGGACACTGGACTTCAGAAAGGCTTCCTGTCAGATGTTGATGCTGCACAGACGCTCAGTTCAGTTTCCAAACCTCCATCCCAAACTCAGAATTCCAGTCCTACTGTCTCCTCTTTGATTTACTTTGAAGGAGAACCAGCTCAGCTCGAGTCCAAACCCATCCAATCAAAAGCCAAATCAGACAGTCTCTCCCAGACAGAGGCCAGAAACCCACAGACGTCCTGTAGGACCAGGAAGCAGGAAATGGAGATGGAACCTGATGCAATGGAATCAAAGTCAGTCACAGATCTGGTGAAGGCTACATCTCCGACCATCACTGTTGTTCGCTGCAGGGTAGATCCAGATGGGAAGGAGAGTGCTGACCGGAGAGGTGACGGGAAGGAGGAAGAGGAAGGACAGGGGGAGGTTGAAGATGGTAGAGGGGAAGGAGACCTGCAGCTTACTGGTCACATGTTTTTACCAGTAGTTGTTGAGGAGACACAGAAGAAGGATGTGAGGGACGAAGGGACAGCTGAAGTGAGACACTTCGACTGGAGGGAGTCCAAAGGTACAGTTCACCAAGACAGAACCTGTAGTGTAGCCGACTGTGACCCTGAACATGTACTGGAATTTTCCAACCCAACCTCCTACTCACCACCACCGCCTCCTCCTCCATCATCTCCTCTACCTTCATTACCAGACGTCTCCAAGTCCCAGAGTGACCCCTCAGTGAAGACAGGAGATGAAAGCAGGAACAAAGAGACGGTCCCAGTGTCTGCTCAGGACTTAGAATGGTCCACTAACAAAGCACAAACACATCTACAGGTTCCACGTGGTGTGGTCGAAGACGGACCCGCTGGTGTGGTCAGTTCTGCCGATGAGGTCAGCGACAGCACTAATTCGGACAATGTCTTCGAGGATGAGGAAGTGAGCGTTTCACTTAATTGTAGTTCAGTTGAATCCAGAAGGGTTGGTTCTGGTTACTCCTGCCCTGTCAGTTCTCTAGCAGCAGAACCTGCTGGGGTTGTAACTAGTAACACACTGTATGACTCAAAATCAATACTGAAACACACAGGTGTGTCAAACAACAATGACGACACACCCAGGAATGACTGGAACATTCCAACTGAAGCACAGCGTGGACTTGGTTCAGTCAGGACTGAGGCAGCAGTGATCCACGTCTCCAAAGAGCCTCTGTCACCAACTCCCTTCCTCTTCCACTCATGTTCTCCCAGCATCATGGGCAGATTGTCCTCCTCAACACTGAGGGGTAAGATACAGAATTTGCCTCTGTACCTGTCGCGGTCTCAGGAGAGCCTCCACCAGACTGGAGCAGGAAATCTGAACCGAAGTCCTGCCGTGGACAAGATCAGTAACGGTGCAGACGTCACACGAGCTGTGGACGATCACATGGACGCAGCTGCAGAAACAGTCAGTCAACAGTCAGACGAGTCCGATTCCACAGTCACCGGTTCGGAGGTTGATGGAGAGGTGGTATGTGGCACAGCACCGGTGACGAAAGTTAACTCCCCGCTCCCAGTCCCAACTGAACCCCACCCACAAAACCATATTCCATACTCAATTCCAAACACATCAGAACCCATAACGGAGCCTCCACCCTCCATGGTGAAGATCTTCCACAGAGAAACCTCAGTCATCAAGGACACTCCTGGACCAATAACACAAGCTCCAGAGGCAAACACGTTCCAAGCCACAGATGTAGACAGTTCAGGTCATAAAATGGTCAGTCATTTACCCTCCACCCCAAAGGTGGTGACGACCCAGAATCTAAACAGAGCTGGGCTTCCTTTTCACAATCAGCTGTCCACAGTGAGTTGGACCAACAACCACAGGCCTCTGATGGCTCTCTGTAGACCTCCAGAGCAGAAGTCAGACTCACCAGAGACCCTGTCCTCTGGCTGCAGGGTGTTCACCATCTGTGAGGACTCGTGGCCGACAAAGACTCCAGCACAGCTCGGGACCATGCTACCCTTAAAGTCTGGATTCAGCTGCGGCTCCGCGCTAACGTCTGGATGTGAGTCGGTCGTGGAGGGTCTGCAGGTTCCACTGGACGCTTGTGGCTGTCCAGCGGTCTACAGCAACTGCTTCAGTGGTGGAGACAGCTTCGATGACGAGCTCACAGTCTATGAGTTCTCCTGTCGCACAAGTCAGAATAGTGCTGTGACCCAGACCTCTGCGCCTGTCTCCTCCCTCCTCTCCACTCCCCCCACACATTCTCCTTCCTTCCCACGCTCCATCCTCTTCTCCTCCTCTACCTCTGAGCTCAGCCCTCTTCTTTCCCCTCTCTCTGTCACCTCTGACTGTCACCTGTCCCAAACCCACAAAAACATTATCAGTCAGCTGGGGCAGCAGTGCTATCCAGAACCCCCCATTGGTTACCAGGAACTCCGCGTAGACGTTAACCAGCTGCTCTCCATCCTAGAGCACAGCAGTGGTGATCGACCGGCCGGAGGACACGGGGGACGGCACCCAAGGGACACCTGTCCCGCCCACTTTACAGAGAACAAGCGGATTCTTCAGACGGAGGCTCGTCATCTGATGTCCAGCTGCCAGAAGGTCGTTGGGGTTGAGCAGAACCCAGGACAGATGCTGAACTCTCTGGCCGACAGCTTCAGGACCCTGGTAGAGTTGGCCGGCGTCTGTCTGTGGTTCTCTGGTTGTGACAGGTGTGACCGCAGGAATGTAGAGGCAGTCGCAGGTCTGGCCGACGTGGCCCGCTCATTCAGGGACTTCTGTCTGGCTGCAGAAAGAGCCGGCAGCAAACGCAGCTGCCAGGACCTGAGCACCAAACTGTTGGCCAAACAATGCACTGCTCTCACCGCCTCTGTTTTCTGCCTCACCCAGCTGTTCCGCACACTCACTGCATTATGAGCAGCTCATGGAGACTGGTCAAGCAAACTGTAGCAGGTCGTCTTACACGTGGGCTCTGAAAACACACTGTTGGTATTTTACAAAATCTGCTTTGTGATTGGTCTAGGATTTAACCAGGACTGTTGCCATGACCACAGAATTTCTCCACATCAACATTCAGTGTACACACGTGCAGTCAACAGGGCAAACAACACTGAGAAGCATGTGGCGTATCTAACTGGACGGACCCATGTCCCTGCAGGGGCGGAGCTGTGGGGACTGTTTTCTATATAAGGCTATGTGAAATTAGGTTTATTATTTTGCAAAGTTCTAGAAGACGACATGGCGTGTTGCTGTGTTTGTCCACTAGAGTGTACAATCAAACGATGTTTACAACAAGCTCAGTATTCTTTAGTAGAAGCAACTAATAATGAACTGTATTTCACACTAAAGAGGTGACTTCTAAAAACACTGGTTCTGGTGTGGTGACGGACTCTACTGCAGCCCTGAGACTTAACAGTCAGGAAACACTACAGTTGAGAGGCACCAGTAGAATCAGTCTGTGTTTCAAAATGAATGTATTGCATCCTTATTTATAATCCCATTATATTTATTGACTATTTTAAAACCAACTTTATGGACATGACATTGATTTACTTGAATTTTACTGTTAAAGACAGACGTTAGAGAATAATTCACAAGCACGTAAATTTAAAATGGACTGTTCTGTTAATACAGAACAGACAGTTAATACACTGTATTAACAGAACAGTTAATACAGACTTAGACTTGACCTAAACATGAGCTATTATTTAAATGAACAAACGGTCATTTACGTGTGCAGGGTTTTTTTGTTTTTTTTTTGTCTATTTGCACTGTGTCGCAGTTCAAGGCCTCCAGTCTTCACTGGCTGCATTTGTTAACTGGAAATTGTTCACAAGTCCTACTGCAAAGTGTTTCTACTGGTTGGTTATTCAAACCGATGTTGCCAGGTGTGAAATGTAGGGTTATCCTACCAGAGGTATAAAATTGTCGCACATACGTATCATTGGGCGATGCTTACTTTTACTTTTCCTGGCCACCTTCTTTGCCTCTCCTCCTCCGTCTCCTCCTCCTTCTCCCATTTTCCGCAGCTTGTATTTTGTTTTGGCCTTTTCTCTCTTTCTCCACAGTGGACCCTTCAGTCATGTCATGCTCGTGCTCGTGCACCTGGCAACACTGATTCAAATTGACCGAGTATTTGAAGTCTGTGGCTACAGTACAAACTTTGGACCTAGGACACAGTGTGTGGTGAAGTAGCTGCAGAGCAGAACCCGTAGTGCAAAGTGCAAATCTGATCACCAGGTCAAGAACTGTTCTTTTTTTTTTTTAGTACAAATCAATTACAACCTATCTGATAAACAGTCAGTCATTGAGGCCACTGATGCAGTGTTCAACTATGTATTTATATAATACTGACTACAGTGGTGGTTCTCAAACTATATACACCAGGGGTCACCAACGTGGTGCCCTGGGGCACCTGGTAGCCCCCGTGCGGGGTATATTCTAGTCAACAGAGGGTCAACGGTTGTACTGTTACTGTGCTTTTGGATCAGTTCCACCTGCAATTATATTCAGATGGGTTCAGTGACGATGGTAAGAAGAGTGTCTGAGGTTGTCTGTCCCAAAACTGATTATTATTACATTGGTCAGGAAGGAGCTCTCTGTATTACTAAGTGACCTCAAAGTAGCTCTCAGTTTCAGAAAGGTCAGTGACCCCTGATATACACCATGTAGTACCTCCCAAAAAACTCTCTCCAAGTACCATCAGTACGACCAGCATTACTGTCCACCTTGTTCAGTATGCAATACACTGAATACCTGCTGAGATTATTAGTCTGTTGGTGAGTTCAACTATTGCTACCTGTACCATAGTTTGGGAACCACTGGACTGCCCTGTTCCCATTCATAGGGACCAGGGACTATTACTGCTGGTGTGATGTCCCACAGGACAACCCACAGTGCTGTGCTGGTTGCAGTGGATTGTATATAATCTATTAAAATGTGCTGGCGAATCAAATTCACCCTCCAAATTCTCCACCCTCTCTTTCTAAGAATCTCTACTTAAATCCAGGGAAAGAACAGAAAGTCTTTGGTGACAATCTAACTTAGCCTCGTTTACCTTTGGAGTTACAAACCTGTGGCCTCAGCCTGTTACCACAGCATGCAGCTGAAGTAGTTCATTCAATTTTCATATGCAGTTCATGTGTGTGTGTTTATACCCAAAAGCACTCTTATGATATTCCTCAGATGAGTCAGACTCTGAAAACAAGACACCGAGATCCTGAACAGACCGGAGTAACTGCACAGTTTCTGTTTGTGTTCAGAATGGCTGCAGTGTCTGTGCTGTGTCTGTGCTGTGTCTGTGCTGTGTCTGTGCTGTGTGTCGGAGCAGAGGTTCATTTGTTGGATTATTGCAGCAGAGGAAACTGATGCCACGATGCAGACTTTTGCAAATGATTGAGTATCTTATTTTGAAGTCCTCATCTGTGCTCTCGCAGCATGCTATACAAGCCATAAAATGCATTGATGATTAATCAGGGATTTTATTAGTGAATGACTGAATGATGATGATGATGATGATGCCTCTGCTTTGTAATGCACAACTCTATTAAAAACTAAATGCAATTGGACCTTCTTGTTTGCTCGTCCACTGTTATCAGGAAGTCTGGATTTTGGATCAAGAAAAGAAATATTAACCATTGTATTTTCAAAACAACATAAATATTGACTTTCTTTTTTTAGCTGGTTGACAGGGTTGTATCTCTGAGACTCTGTCTTGTCTTCACTGCATATGTTATAAATCACATCTCAAGGTCTCTTCTTCACTGCATATGTTATAAATCACATGACTTTTTAAATTATTAATTATTATTAAGCTGAGTCATTAGAACAGGTAAATGCTGAATTAAAGAGGACTTGGTACTCTGTAGCACACACATTCCATTCCTCACCGTAATTTGGTTGAAATATAATTCGTACATTTCAGCTTTTAATACACTCAGACCCCAGAGCTAACGTTAGCTCACTGCTAAGGGCTATGTCATGTGTCAGTTTAAATAAGGCAGGTGGTGTGTTCAAACATTTACCCTTGCCTCTATGTCATGAACGATAGTCTGTGAATGTGACACCAGTCCCTGTTACTGTATGACTGACAGGTCGTGTACTTATTAATGCTGAGTGAAAGCTATTTAACAAACACACTTTTGGCTGAGTGTCCTTTGAAATGACACTGTGGTCTTGTTGTCAGGGAGAGAACTCAGGACGACGTTATAGGTGGATGAAAGGTTGTGTCTCAAACCACCTCCTCTGTTGAGAGATGGTTTCTCCAGATTGATGTAGATGGCTTCCTTCACCCGTCTCTCAAACCATCTGTCTTCTCAGGTGACGACATGTACATCCTCATCCACAAAAGTGTGTCCTTTGTCCTCCAGATGTAGATGAACAGCTGAGTCCTGCCCTGAGGAGCTGGCTCTTCTGTGTTGTTGCATACGCTTGTACAGTGGTTGTTTGGTTTCCCCAATGTCGAAGTCAAAGCAGTCCTCGCTGCACTGTACTGCATATACAACACTACTGTGTTTTGAACTGAACTGAAGAAGTCTCTTGACGATGAGATGAGAGGGGAAACGTCTTCTTCGTCCAGTAGCCCTTGATGTTGCCCTTGATGTAACTATATTTTGGATTAAATGACCTGGATGACTTAGAACCTACACAGACATGTTAATAATTAATTTCTCCTCAAATTCAACACAGCACATGGTAAAACCACAACAACCAATGAGCGGCTCTAGCAGCTATATACGTCACAAAGCCGCCCCAGGTGGGTGTGGCCTAACGTACACAAGTTTTCCTCTTAGAGGAGAACAGTTCACAGTGTGACCATCAGAGGTAAGTCTGTTCACCTAGACGGAGTGCTGAATCACTGTCGGTCATGGACGGTTCCGGTCACTCACACGTCAAATACTCCAATGGCGTGAGAGAAGATTTAAATGTAACGGTCGTAAATGGAGACGTGACCGACAAAAAACAAAAGTCCTGCGCTAGACTCCGGAGCTGCATCCCGCTGGTTTACCGACAGGAGCTGAAGCAGCTAGTCAAACTGGCGGGTCCAGTGGTAAGAGTTTATTATTAATAATAGTGACATTGTTGTTATATTTTTTCCTTTAACTATAGAATTATTATTATTATTACTATGTCTGAAAATGTAATGAAATCTTTTCCACCACATCTTGTTTCCTGCGTTGTCCTGATGCTGTCTCGTTAAATTGGACCCTTATCTTTGTAGTAATTTTTATATATGTAATCGAGTATTTTGATCATAAAATAATTTTCTGTAAAACAAAACACTAAAAAAGGACATGAAAATCGTGTTATTTTTACTCTTGAGGGGACAGAAAATGACTTCCGTTATACTTGTTATCCCTCACATTCATTTCCTATTTCTAGATGTAAAGAAATTTAAATTTTTACAAAGGTTGTGAATGTGAGACCAGATGAGATTGAAACAGAGATCAGTTCGGGGGGGGGGATTTGGGGGGTCTTTTGGTTCACAGGTAGAATGTTGTTATAAAAAAAAGTTTTGTTTTTCTTTCTCCCAGATCATTTCACAGATGATGGTCTTCATGATCAGCTTCGTCAGCACTGTCTTCTGTGGCCACCTGGGGAAGATTGAACTGGCTAGCGTGGCGTTATCAATAGCGGTGAGGAGACAGGTTTGACTCTTCGGTGCGTCCGTTCCGTGAAGTCTTTCTCACGTCTGTTCTCATTGGCAGGTGGTGAATGTCACTGGTGTTTCCATCGGCAGTGGTCTATCGCTGACCTGTGATACCCTCATATCTCAGGTATCCTCAGCAGAGGCTCTGACAGAGAAGCCAGAGCTGCTGCTGGGCTCTCACACCATCCTGGGGTCTGAATGAAAACAACTGGACACCAGTGTTTTTGTTCTCAGAGCAGGAGGATGCTCTGTACATCTGCTCACCCCACACTCCCTGTCTCCCTGTCTGACACAGACTTATGGGAGCGGTAACCTGAAGCGCGTGGGTGTGATTCTCCAGAGGGGGGTTCTCATTCTACTCATGGCCTGTTTCCCCTGCTGGGCCGTTCTCATCAACACTGAACCTCTGCTGCTGGCCGTCCAACAGAGTCCAGAGATCGCCAGGTCATTCGGCATCCCATCACCAAAACAACACAACAGTGATACAGCAGCGTGTTGGATTTTAGAAAACCAAAAAAATATTATTCTAAAAATGCATGGGAGCAATACTTCTTAATATTAAGGAAAGTGAGGAAAGTGAACTCCTTGGCATTGTGACACAGCTCACCACTGCACACATTGAAATGTGACCTCTGATTTTAACCCATCACCAAAGTGAACAGGGGGCAGCTTAAGAGCCCGGGCAGCAGTGTGTGGGGACGGAGCCATGATCAGGGCACCTCAGTGGTAACCTGGTCACCACTGCCCCCTGGACTTATTAAGGACTTATCTTAGGACTTACCTTAATTTGATTGTCAATTATTGATGAAGTGGACAGTGGTGGCTTCATGGTTAAGGAAGCAGACTTGGGTCCAGAAGGTTTAAGGTTCAAGTCCCTCAAACACTGCTCCCCTAGTGCTTAAAGCTGCCCCCTGTTCACTATGGTGATGGGTTAAAAACAGAGGTCACATTTCATTGTGCTGTGATGTGCTGTGATGTGCTGTGTCACAAAGACAAATACTGTAGTTTATGTACAAAGATAAAATTCAATTCATTCCTTTGGATGCAGAGCTGGTTTAAGACAGCGTCAGTGACCTGCTGTGACTCCTTTACACTAGAACCACTGAGTCAGTGTGGGTGTTGGTGTTGCTGCCTCACTTCATATTCATATTCACGTTCTTCATTCATCACTGGAGTAACCCATGGATCCAAACCTCTGTCTGGAACAATGACATTTGTCTAAACCTGTCTTTCTGCCCACAGCCTCTCACAGCTGTATGTGAAGGTCTTCATGCCTGCTCTGCCTGTGAGTAAATGAAATACAGCTGGACCTTCACTTTGTAGCCATGCTGACAACATGACTAGTAGTACTGAAGACTTCTGAGAGCATACTTTAACTCAACTTTGTGATGTGAAAATGTCGTGTGTGTGTGTGTGTGTGTATAGAATCATGTTAATACATACACAGCACTAAGGTTTGCTAATGCTACATACCTGTATGTCCCTACAGGCATCCTTCATGTACCAGCTACAAGTGAGGTATCTTCAGAACCAGGTGACTTTAATTTACCAACTGATTCACACACATTGTACAGTAGTGAGTATGAACTCTGTTGATGGATACAAGATCCAAGGTTCTGCTCTGTTCTTCCAGGGAATCATTTGGCCTCAGGTTATAACTGGAGTGATTGTCAACATCCTCAATGCTGTCATTAATTACGTCTTCCTCTTTGTTCTGGATCTGGGTGTTGCGTAAGTGTTTTTTTTTTGTACGACCAGAAACTTTATGGGATTGAATGTTAGGTTGAGGCAGAAGCAAATGTGTGGCTCTTGATTGACCGCTCCTCAGACTGTGGCACTCCACTATGGCAAAATGTAGATTATTTTGGTCAACATTAAAAATACTGTCTGCTGATGAACACTGCCATTCACAACAGAGCTGATCTGAACAAGAATATGTTCTGTCATATCAATGGTATTGATGATACACCTTACTGAGAAAAATAGAATATATACAGTATATATGTGTGTGTGTGTTAAAATATTTGTCATGTTTATGAATTGGTGACTTGCTTCTTTCAGTGGATCTGCAGCGGCCAATTCCATCTCTCAGTATTTCCTGGCAGGGATCCTGTTCATTTATATCTGCGGTCGGGGTTTGCACAAGGCCACATGGTCAGGTATGAAGTCACCTCAACTTTGAACACAGTTTGAGTCCCTCCGTCTTTTGTCTCTGCTGGTCGACGGTGTTTGTTGTGCTGTTCTTTCCTCCTCTTTCATCAGCCAGGCCTGTGTTTCTTCACCTCACTGCTTGTCTATTGTCAACATCCCAGCATATAATGTCTGACACATTAATAACAAAGTAACCATGACACCCTGTGCAGAGTTCATCAGAACCACTGTGGTGAGCAGCTCAGCCAACCAGGCCAGTCAGTGGACTGGACTTTGATAGGACCACACACCATATATAGATCCAAGAGCACTAACTAAGATTCTAAAACCTGGAGCTAAAGGATAAAATAATACACTTGACTCTTGATTATCTTTCTACCTTTAACCTTTTAAACTCACTCACACACACACACACGTGTTAGCAGTTAATCAGTAAGGCTGTTCTTTTCTAAGCGCTAGTAGTTGTGTAACAACAAGATTTTTCTTTTGACTTGATGCGCAAGAGGAATGTGTCCGATCGAAACACAAAACACACTTGGTAAACCTTTCAAACCTTGACCCACAGGTTGGTCCCTGGACTGTCTGCAGGAGTGGGGACCATTCATCCGTCTGGCCATTCCCAGCATGCTCATGCTGTGTCTGGAGTGGTGGATGTTTGAGATCGGGGGCTTTCTGTCCGGAGTGATCAGCGAGACAGAGCTGGCAGCCCAGTCTATAATATATCAGATGGCTGTCATAGCCTACATGGTACAGTCAAAGGCTAATCCTCTTCACCGTAACACACTCCCTGGACCTCCACTGGTGTGGTGTATGTAGTTCACATTGGAATGTAGGTGTATGTCAGTCACAGATGTTGACCTATTGACCCTCCAAGCTGACAAATACGAGGGTAAAGTAAAAGCTCTAGGACAAAAATAAATCAGTTCCTGCTCCCCACACCCTGCACAGTACACTACATAAGGTGCACCCCACTTTGTAGTGGTGTCTGAATGTGTATTGGGTAGAAGTTGTCCACTGTGTAGGGCACTCAATGTATCCCACAATGCACTGCAGAATCTAGTGTCTGTCAGTTTTAACTGTGTGGCAGTAATTATGTAATTCACTGTGCACAGAAGTAATGTCTGGATAACTTTACATGATGACCTTTGACACCTGGTCACAAACTGCTTCTTGGTCTTGTCTAAAGACTCAGAAGGATCTAACTCCAAACATTTGAATCATTTAAGCAGCTTTAACCTACATAGTTATGAATAAAAACCTGGTCAAATTAAACATATGATCAAAACAAATGTGATAAAACTTGTCAACACTGTTATAGTCACCTGAGAGACCAGTTTGAACACGTTCTAGTCATTCACAACACACACCTTCAAAGTCAAAAGATTTGTCTTAGAACTTGTTGAACTGTAAACTGTGACTCCGCTGCAGGAGTGTGTCAACAGTGTATTTCCTCAGATGAAACATAATTCATGTACTCTTGTTGTTCTGTCGGGTTCTCAGTTCCCTCTAGGGTTCTCCGCTGCCGCCAGTGTCCGGGTTGGAAATGCACTTGGTGCAGGAAACGTAGGGCAGGCCCAGCTGTCATGTAAAGTCACGATCGTCAGCTCGTGTAAGGACCATGTTCTGAAAGTAGTAAAAAAAAAAAAACTAAAACATTTTTTTTTATTATTTTTATCACGGATATTGTCGTCC